AGAGATTAAAAAAGAAATTTTTTTAGTTGAGGACTAAATATGAGTTCCATATCAAAGGTAAGGGACCAAAAAAAGGGAATTTTAATTTTTAACTTTGCTTTTGCGAACGTGTGTCATGTGGTTTAAGGCAAGGTTTTTAAAACCGGACCGGACCGGCCGGTTGAACCGGTCAAACCGGGAACCGGACCTGAAAACGGTTCAATAACCGGTCCGGTTTTGAAAACATTGGTTTAAGGTTTATTTTGGGGTTTTAGCCAGGGTGAGTGGCCTTCTTTAGTCCAATTAAGACCGCAATAATTATAATTAGTCAAGGCTGCGATTGGGATTGCGGTTGTGAGTTTTTTTGTATAGCTACACATCACTTTTAAATATATGTGTATTTGATAATTTTTTTTAAAATTATTTTTTTTAATTGCAGAAAGTCACAATAAATTTATAATAATTATATATATAAAGTCAAAAGCCTTTTGGAGCTTTTTGATTGTAACTTTTATATAAAATACTTAATATTTAATATAATTACAAAATTATCTATTAAAATTTAATTTCATATAATTTAATTACAATAGTATTATAATACTTTAATAATTAAAAAAATTTTAAAAATCTAAATTATTAAAAAATAAGAAATATTATATATTTTAATAATTATATATCTTACAATATTTTTAAAATTTTAAATAATAATTAATAAAAACTATCATATTTTATTTATAATATTTTTAAAAAATAAATAATCAAACACCAAAATAACTTTTAATCATAGTTACAATACAGTACAACCACAATTAAGCACAACCACACCTACAACCACAGTTACAGTCACAGTCACAGCAACAGCACTTCACAGGAATTCCAAACACACTCCAAATTGCTATGCCCCGGGACAATAATTAATAATTATAATTATAATTTGAGCTGTAATAATTAATATTTATAATTAATCAAGTTGCCAAGCCCTGGAGTAAGACGTAAACCAGTTGGAAAATATCAAATCTACAAAAAATCGGGGCGGGGTAATTGTCACCTTAAATAATTAGTATCATATATTTTTAATGTAATTATCTATTATACTCTTACATTACATTTTTTTAAAAAAAATTATACTTTTTTGTTTCTTAATAAATTAAAAGATATAATAATCAATTAAAATAAAAATGTGTAGCATTAATAATTGAGTATGTAACAATAACATCACCCAAAAATCAAAGTGAGGAGTCTCTTGGACAGGTGGTTAAGAGGGAATTGGCTTTTTATTTATAGGAAAATTTTATTTAAGGAATTAGCTTCTTTCTTGAGATGAAACATTTTTATAGTTGTTACTACTATTCGATTTGAGAAAAATGAAAAGGGGAGAAAAGGGATTTCATTCTTTCTTCTATTTCCCCAGTCTCCTCATCCTCGGGTCCTCCCCTCCGGCCCCCTTATTTAATTAGATTAAAATATAAAAGAAAAATGAAGTAAAGGAATGCTCCTCTCCTTCTATACTCTCTTCTAATATTTTTTGTTATTTAAATAATTTTTTTTTTCTCCTTTTCCATTCTTTCGTTTCCCTTCTCTTCAAACTAAACAAGCTATTATGGTTTTTATAATGCAAAAAATATTATTTTCAATTTGTAGGTTTGGTCATGACAATCAATTTATTTGCTAGGACCATCAAAATTGTGTTAAAAATATTGATTTTGTTTAATTTATAAGAACAACTAATAACTAATATTTATTAAATAATAAATATTAGTTATTAGTTGTTCTTATAAATTAAACAATTTAATAAATTAAAATTAGTTTTAAAACTTGAATTTTTAGACATCACAATCAATTATTAAAAAAAATTACAAATATTAGTCAAATAGAATGCAATTTTAGTAATCTTAACAAATGAATTGGCAACCTTAATAAATGAATTGATGGTTATAACCATACCCTCAATTTGCTAATATGATATTTTTTCGAGTGTTTGGTTGGGCAAAAAATTTAATAGATAAAAATGTTTTTTTGTCCGGTAACTATCAAAGTATAATATCATGTTAGTCTTTAAATGAGTGAAATACACATTGCCTTCTACTCGTCTAAATGTCTAGATTTCATAGTTTGGTTCAGGCCAAACTATAA